TTTGTATTACAATAGTTCGAATATTTATCGAAATTTTTAAACCTCCAAATTTGCCACAGTAAAGAACTTAATACTACTAAAATAATATTCGCTTCAACATTAATGTTTAGTACTATAGTCAGCCAACGATTGATGCTCGTTATGCACGATCGGTTACTATAGTATATACCCGTGTTTTGAAACTTTCCATACGAAATTACATTATTATTAAATTATACTTTCTAATTGTATTGTGTGATAATTTTTTCACTTTTCCTTTCTACCGGCAATATTGCAGATCTTGCGCAAGTGGTGCACACTTTCGGTACAGCGGCTCGTTCAGAAAAATCGGCCCGTAGCGAAAGGGTTAATACGTCAGAGAGTTGGACACATCAGTGAATGTCCTGCTACGTGTCAATGACGTGACGTGTCTATGACCGATTTATACTGGCACAGATCTGCTGGCAAACTCGAATAACGAGATAATGAAATGTAGACATCAGGATTGATCAAGTTATTGGTCACTTATCTACAACTCGAAATGAAAAATTCGCTATTTCGATGAACTGTAGCAACAGAAAACTTTAAATAATAACTTTTAACTGCTCTGGGAAACTAGATTTGAATTTCCCTCTCAATTTACAAGCACATCTACTTGTTGTACTTCTTCATATTTTCAATGTGTAAAAATATCCGATACATGTCATGTCATAAATTTGTCCAAGATGAGATTGAAAAATTATAAAATTATTGTTTGCAGGCCTACTGACGGCGATTAATTGCTACAACGTGAAATGGGCGACCAGGGTGCAGGACATCTTCACTGGAACGAAGATTTTCGCGCTGGTGATCATCATGGTCGCTGGATTTTGGTGGCTCTGCTTGGGTCATACGGAAAACTTTCGCCATCCCATGGATGGAACCAATACTCAACCGGGCTACGTTGCCTTAGCCGTTTATTCAGGCCTCTTCTCTTATTCCGGATGGAATTATCTGAATTACGTGACTGAAGAGTTGAAGGATCCTTACAAGTAATTTGCCATTATTTCTATTGAATCTTTCGTTCATCGTCATCTGCTACATATGTATATACATATACATAAACATATATATGTGTTTAGCGGATCGCTCGAGAATCGTACTGATTAATAATTTCGTAAATCGAAAAGTAAAACAAAAATTGTGAGTAAAAATATTTTATAATATTTACCTTACTTACACGATCTGTCGTCATTTCGAACGAATGAATTTATATATATATATATATATATATATAGTTATATATTTTGTGTTTTCGATTTAGAAGTTGAACGCTAATTACGTAGCCACGTTGAATATTATACATTAATAAAATTTTACAAATTATTAATATAAACGTTATTAGTATAATTAATAAAGCATGTGAATCTTTTAATCTTTTGAACGTCAATTTTTCATGGGACGTTTTTCTTTGATCAATCAGGAACGAATATTAGATGAAACAGGTGGAATGAACTTTTCAATGAACGCCCCCAAACAAAGATCTTTGAAGAATTCAGAGTTTCAAGTTATATTTAAAACGGAGTAAAAGTGACGCATCAATATGCGAACAGCATGTTTATGCAGTTTATATTTAAAACATGAATGAAACATTTCGAATTTGGTTTCCTGATTTCTGTTTTTGAAACTCTTTGCTTGCCTTCATCTCTTTGTTGTACCTCCAAAGAAAACGATTCTTTCCTCTTGTGTCTAGTCCATAAAATGATTGGACACTTGTCGTTCTAGCAATCATTTGTTGAAATTTTAATCTCATAAGATGTACACAACGACTGTTGCAAATATTATTTTCGCGTAACTGAAACTTTACTGATAACGAAATACGTAACAAAAATGGGATGAATAACGATATTTGAATATCGATAACGCGATGTGAAAAATGTATATACAATAGTTAATTATCATTTTCGCAGAAATCTTCCAAGAGCGATTTGCATATCATTGCCGTTAGTGACTGTGATTTATGTCTTGGCAAACATTGCTTATTTCGTGGTGTTAACGCAGGACGAGATTCTGGCATCGAATGCTGTCGCTGTCGTAAGTTTTTTTTCCTTATTTAAATTTTAAATTTGTAAGTCTTGTGCATACCTACTTGGAAAGGAATAATTAGGGAAATGGCACAATCGACACATCGACTTACTTGCGTTAAATCGCTGCTCTGTAATCGATGCAATTTTACATTATTAGAATTATTTGTACAAAATTTCTTTCCTTATAGCTATTGCTGCTGCGAGGCCAATAGAAAATTTGTCTCTTATCTATAACAACAA